GGATGTTTTGCGTGGTCTGGTTTGGGAAATCTAGTCAAAATCGACGGTATAATGACAGCGGATGTATACATTGATATTCTCAATGAAAATTTAGAAGAGTCTGCTAAAGGTTGGTCTCGAGAACAACTTCATTTTTCAACAAGATAACGATCCCAAACATACCATTCGTAAAACTACCGCTTTTTTTCGTACTTCTGGGAACAAACTGCTCGATTTCCTAGCGCAATCGCCAGATCTGAATCCGATTGAAAATTTGTGGTCGATTTTGGACCTGAAGCTTGATAAAGGAGAAGTAACGAATAAAATTAAGTTGTTGGAAGCATTGATGAAAGCATGGAAAAATATCGATCAACAACACATCCAAAACCTTGTCGAAAGTATGCCTCGACGTTTGCAAGCCGTCATACAAGCAAGAGGTGGTCATACAATATTAATTATAAACTTTGTCTTTATTACACTTTTTTTCACTTGCGTACTTTATTTTGTCCATGATAAATTTGATAATAAATGTAACGGACTTGATTATTAAAGGATTTCGAATTGTTTTTGAAATTTTTGTAATCATTATTGCAAAGTAGACTAAAATACCTTTCTTTTACCTTATTCATCATTATGCTATCTGCCAGAACTGGCGAGTTATTTACATAAATGTGAAAATGTTTGGAGTGCGTACTTTATTTTGTCCAGTACTGTATATTTATAGAATTTTCAATATAATTGAAGTTATATATATACCTTTCAACTTATATCCTGTCAGGCCTAGGTAGATACCCAGTTTACCTTTCAGTCTGGGCAAGAAATAAGTCGCACCAGCATCGGGAAATAATCCTATTGCCGTTTCTGGAACAGCAGAAAGTTTTTTCCGTGGCAATTCTGTATTTGCCAAGTATAGCTAATCCAACGCCGGCTCCCATTGTTATCCCATTGATGATAACAATATAAGGTTTCTTATATGTTCCGATTCAAATGATTTAAGCTAGAAGCGAAGAAAAAAAAATTATTTTGCACAACTGTTGCATTTGTTCTTGAATAGACACTTTTACGACTTACATATAGGCTTGTTTAAATGTTTCTTCAATCAGATAAAGATCTTTTGGTTCATTCAATGCCAAGGCAAGCGAATTGACATCACCACCCGCACAAAACGCTTTTTCACCCATACTTTCTATTATTATCAGCTTCTTTGAAGATTCCCATTGTTTAAGAATGGAATATATTTTTTGGGCCATGGATAAATTTATGGTATTTAACACCTTAGGTCGGTTTAAAATTATTACGCCCTTATCTCCAACCTTTTTATGTATAATTTTTATATATAATTAATATCTTAATTCCTTAATTAATTTTAATAAATTAATAGCACTTATTGACAAAGATAAAAATTTTTAAAAAATATACAAACATACATCTTTTATAAGGACCTCATCTGTGATTGTTTGAGCACAGGCTGCTTCTTTAGTTTTAGATACTGAAATTGCAAGATTAATTTAAAGCAGCAGTTTGATTTATGCTCACAGTACTTACGTTGCGCTCGCTCTCTCTCTCTCTCTCTCTCTCTCTCTCTAATATATATATATATAAAAGAAATATCAGGAATGAATGATAAAATTGATATAATATTATGATCCGTTCAAATTTTAACAATTACATAAACTTCTATAGAGCCATCTTTAATAGTATCTTATAAGCAATTTATATTAACGACGTTTTCTAAGAAGGTTTATATTGGTCTTCTTTTTCCCGCGTAAATATAAATGCTCACGCCGGTCCATTTCCGGATCATGAGGTCTGTTCGTGTTATTTGCACTTCTTGTATTCAATGTGGACATTGCGGATCGACCGTAAGCGCGCTGATAGTGCTACGAGCGTTAATTAGACCGTAACCTATTCGATTTAAGGAGGTTTTCCAGCAGTTCTCCAGTTATAATATAGGAACTTGATCAAATTTTGAGAATTTGATAAATTTGTTATAAAAATAGAGGCATTCTTGAATTTCATTAAATTTTTTGACCGTCTGGATCAAAAATTATTTCAATAAAAAATGAATTTTTTAAATTTGTACTCTAATAGAAATATATGAAAATGTATTACAAAATAATGATAAAAATCTCAATTTTTTTATTTAAATACTATATGAATTAAAAAATATTTATGTAAAGTTACATTGAGATGCAGACATTAATTGTTCAGTAAATAAACAAAATATTTATTTATTATAAACTGATAAATCTCGATGAAACTTTGCACAAGTCATGTTTAGTCTTTAATATATTTATATTAAAAAATTTAGATTTTTGTTATTATTTAAAAAATTTTTGTTTATAACAATAAAACTAATAACAAAATAAATAATCTATAAGAATGTGTTGCTCAATGAAAACAGAATGTTACGAATACAACTTTGTTTAAAGCGTAAATATTAATATATAGTGTTTTATGACTGGAGAACCTCCTTAAAAAAGATAATGATATAAATATACCTAAGATCAAAGAATGTTTTTTTACGATATATTACAAATTAATATATTGAGAAAAGAAATATTACTGTATTATATAGACAATATTTTGCAGAAATACATTTACATTTGCATGATGGAAAAAGAATTAATAAATAAGATTGTTATAGTAATGCAAATATGTATCGATACAAAATGTGTATATGATACAATTAAAGGTGTAGACTCACCTGTGATACATCGCGATCTTGACATCGATAACCATCTAATTACAGTAACACGTGCGATTGCAGCACTAACACTTGCGAAATAATGTAATTTTCCTATGATGCTCTGTATTTTATCACAAAAGAAATATAATTGCAGTTACTTGACGCACAAATTTCTAACTTTTACTTTAGATCGAAAACTTACCATGTTAAAGGCTGCGTTTGGTTTGAATGCTTAAAGCATTATATACGTGCTTTACAATTTTACACGCATTACTCAAAATATTTTTTATTTATTCATGTCCACTTTAACGATGTAAATATATAAGCGCTTCCCAAGAAGTTGTATATAATTAATATAATGACCAAGGCAACTCTTTTTATAATCAAATGTAATTTAATTGCATGCCTATCTAAATGTTGCATAATTGCATAAATGCAGCATATGTATAATAGGTATCAGAAGGGACAACATTAATGCCCGCATTGTCTTTTCGGTCATTCCACGTCAAATCGGGCACCAAAAAAAATCAACATTTTTAATTTTTTTGAAAATGTTTACATACTTTCTACATATAAAAAAATGAGACACGTGTTTTAAAAAACTGATATGTTTTATATAATAATGTTAGCAATAAACAAAATTGGTGACTCGTAGCCACATACTTTTTTAATAAAAGCGATATGAAAATGATGATATTCGTCAGAAGACGGGGTTGCGTACATGGCAACGTCGCTCACCGATTCAACCGAACGGAATCTCCCACATGGCATATTATGACACATCATACGTAACCAAAACAAGTGTTTTTCTGAATTATGCGGATAAAATATTGTAAAAAAACTGAAATATGAATTATAAGTTACAGTGATAGGTATGTTTTGGGAAACAGGACAGTTTTAGGAAAAATAAATAAGAAAATGCGATCTTTCTTTTTGATTACCTCAAAATCAGGAGATAGTCGAGTAAATTGACAATTTTACTTAAATTTTATTTGAATAAATTTTTAATTTTTATTATATAAAAACATGAAATATGACAATTATTTTTATAAAACAATTTTAAAGTTTTTTAACTTTTAACATCAATAAATGTATTATAAATTATGAAAACACTTGTTTTAAATGATTAATAATCTTATTAATAACTTTCTTATTTTTAATGACTCTTGGCTTATTGTTATATTTCGTTTCTGTTAGTAATGCGTTCACTTTGGTATCTCCTCCAGTTCTGAAACATTCTTGCAATACACATTAAAAGTTATATCTTCTTTCGCTAATCTTTTTAGCATTTGTTTTGAAATCACTTCTTTCAATTCCGTCACGTGTTGAAGAGCAGCAATTTTGTCTGTTTCTTTATTCTGAAGTACACATTCGTGGAAAGTCTTAATATTTTCAAATAATTGCTTCTCTGTAGCAATACAATGCACAAGCTTTTCTGAAACTTCGACATCGTATTTAGCATTGTGACATTTCTCCGATGTGTCATTTTGTAAGAAATCACGAATCAAGGTACTTAGAGTGAACATTCCTGATCCTTTACGCTCTAGTAACACTTTTTTGAAAAGTGTTATAGTATCCGCAAAACCTGTTATCACATTGAAATCATTTTACATATTATTACATGTAATTGCCCGCAGTAAGTTACGTGAATCAAACATTACGTGCAACTAGCAAACAAGAGCTGTTCAATTCAGCTAAAAATTGTTGAAATTGGCACAATGCATCTTTGATGTCACGGCATCAACGGGCTTATCGTATAAAAATAATTATCCTGAAATGAAACTTAAACCAGTTACTTTAGTCGCTACTTCAGAAATCATTTGAGTTGGGTTAACGTAGATATTAAAAAACTTTTCTTTACATTTGGCTGCAATTTGTAAAATTTCAGCGGACGTGTGAAAGCCTGAAGTTTCTAAGTTAGAGTAAATAACTTTACAATCTTGAGGTACTATGTAATTATTGTTAGCCATTTGAAAATCTATTGGAACTGTGGAGTTAATTCCATAATTTGATTCATATCTCACTCCTGATTTTTCATTTGATTTTCTTAGTTTTTCTCGTTCTCTAGCTAGCAACTGCCTGCATACTTTTTGTGCTTTTGTTCTTATCTTTTCTGATTTCTTCTTCCTTAATTTATCTACTCTTTCAGCATGTCTTTGTGTGTGAATTCCAGGTGAGAGGGTAATTTTCTTTTTTATGTCTAACAGTGATATTTCCCCATCATTTTTGCAGCAAATGGCACTTGCTACACGAAAATCACATGCTGCACTTTTGCTTAAACATATATTCTTTGGTGCTTTCCGACTTATCATATTATTTACACTTTCATTAACCTGGCTTGAAGCAGCAATTGAAAATTTGAACGCATTATTTGCGTACTTTTTAAACATTTCACATAAAGGACCGTAAAGCGTTTCTTGTTTTAACTATATAGTTTGGTGACCATTTTCAGTTTTTGATCGATGGCACCAATTAACATCACAGTTTTCATGCTGCCCATACAAATGGTCTGGAAGACTTTGTAATATTGCAGCTAGCTTCGCGCTATTGGCTACGGTTACACCGTACGACTGATAGCGACCTGACCTATATCGTGATCCAAAGTAGGTCTAGTCACCAACCGTTTATACCGAAAGGGACTTAAAAAATGGTTGGGTCATATTTAGTCCACGCTGGTCCGAATTAGAGCCATCTATCGTATTTTGTACAAATTATTTCCATATGGACCCAAGAATCGCTAAACGCATGCGCATTAAGTCATGAAAAAGGCGCTTATATCGAGTCGGTTTGAGAGTTTAACCTAACTCTCAAATTCAACAAAACAGCTGTTCGAGCAAAATGGCTACGAAGCTTCAGGTCGGGTCAGTCGCGAATTTACACCGAGAAAGCAGACGACCTATTTTAGGTGAGGGCGCCAAAAAATACGGCCTGACCTACAACAGGTCGGGTCAGGTATAGTAGTATTTACAGCGAGCGGCCTAAATAATGTAACCTGAATTAGGTCGAATTTAGGGTATAGGCCGCGGAAGAAACTTACGGTGTAAACCAGGCCATTGCCTTTATTTTGTGAAATGGCATAAGTAAAGCATTTCTTGATATGTGCTATATAGTTCTGTTGCGAGTTTGAATTTTAAGTCGAATGTCGCGCGCGATGTCGCTGCCGTGCAACCATGGTGTCCTACCACCTGGCCCCAGGGCGGCGCTTCCTGCAGAGGCAGGTGGCGTTGCTAGGCCGCTCTCCCTGGGACTCTCTCCCTCGTTATTATTGCATCATGCACGTTGCTCTCGACACATGGCCGGCCATCTTCTCTTGTGTGTGCTTTTCTCAGTGAGTACGTCATTCGACGTCCCGTGGCAGTTCGACGGTGTAAAGTCTGTTAGTACGTCTTACGACGTCCCGTGCCGTGCCGGCGGTGTAAAGTCTGTTAGTACGTCTTACGACGTCCCGTGCCGTGCCGGCGGTGTAAAGTCTGTTAGTACGTCTTACGACGTCCCGTGCCTAAGAGGCGGTGTTTGGAAACTCTCCTGTAAGTACGTCGTGGGAATCCCCACCCCTTCACTGGTGGTGTTTACGAGAACATCGTATGGAGATTCTGGCTCCTCATGTTATATTACATTTACTGTATTTGATTCTGATATCTTCATTAATATTGTACTCATGCATTAATTCTGTATTCTTGATAGATAACCCCCTTTGTAATAAATTCTTTACTTTCGTCTAATTCGTTCTTGGCCTTTCAGATCAACCTCTCTCGCCGAAGTGCGAACAGTTCTTTTTGTTCAATTCTGAATGTATCTTTGCAAGACTGTACAGATCATTTACAAAATGTTTTACTAAGTGATTTTTGTCAGCTAACTTGTGGATTTTTAATAGATTGTTTTTCCGCACTGCTGCAATGGTTGAGCGTCCTCATCGCCGATGACAACTCGTACTTGAAGACCAGCTTCTGCCAAAATACTACTGTTATTCATGAGTTGTACGCCTGCATCCGCCTCCATTGCCTTTGCACTGCTATGATAATTTAGCCGACAGTCATGGTTCTGTTTGTCTATTTGAAGTTCGTAAGATTTACACTTCCTATTTCGTGTCGTATAATTTAAAATTCGTCCGGATAAGAAACCAATTATAGTAGCATAGCCATTGAGGCTGTCATAAGATCT